CCAGTTAACAAACATTTTCGATCTGTTAATCCTAAAAAAGGAGCTACAAGCTTTTAACATTTTTGTTCAAGAATAGCCAACAGAATTTCGATATAGTAACATTTGAACATTTACAAATTTCAATAATTAGCAACAATCAGTTGCTAAACACTGTTCATCCTACCTCATTTCCGGAGGCACAGTGAGCGGACAAATTAAGAGCGTCCTAATTACTTCCACTTCAAAACGGTAAAGGGAAGTTTTCACCAGGCTGTTGGATTTACCTTGACCACAGAGGTATTAATTCTTCCACTCTGTCTAGAACTAAGAATAGATCGCTTAAATCTCCGCTGAATGGTGGTTGCTCCGTGACCACGACATCTTGGATCGATGGTGTTGTCGTTGATCTTAATTTAATACCACCACGTTGAACGATCAAGTGCTGAGGTAACGCCAGCGGATATTAAAATGCTCCTGATGGTCGTAAATGCACTCAACGTTGTCGCAGAGTTTCAAGGCAATTCGCTGAAATCGCAACAGTAGGTGGAGCTGACTCTGATTCCAAGAACTGTGACAAAACATGGCTCAATGTCAAAGATGATATGAACAGGCATGGTTATGCCAAGCGACGAGATGGTGGTTCGTCATGATTGGACCAAATATCGTCGCGGAGAAGTTAGTGATCAACGTTTCCTGCCATCGGAGTGTACCGAACGTCGAAACTGGCCAAAATGGATCAATTAGTCTTCAACGAACAGCCGTTTACAGAACGGTTGTTCCTACAGCCTCGACCGTACAGACGAAGTGTAAGAGAGTCATAGTCACTACAACCGCTTGCCCGCGCTTCATTGAATTTCTTGGCCTTGACCTTCGGAGTGCAGGGCAGAAATTACATTTTTTTAACACGGGTCGAAGGCCGTCACGGTGATTTGTTTCAAATAAACGGTCCAACCCAAACGTCCACCCTCCTGCCTAAATCGCACATCTGCCAACTTCGAAAAAAAGTTTCCTCTGTACCGTAGGATCGACTGACCCATGTACAACTGCTGTTCACATGGAACCCTTCTCCATTTGAGTCTTCAAGGTCCTCTCTTGAAGATTCGCCACTGCCACCAAGCTCTGAACCATCGATGGTTCACACTCTGTACTGATTTTATAGCACACCGTCGCGCTTCTCCCACTCACTTCGACTCCGATGGGTCGCGCAACACCGCAAACGAACGGCTACAAACTGAAGCACCATCCATTTTCGGAGCTAGTTGATTCGACAGGTGAGCTATTACTCACTCCTTAGTGAATGCCAACTTCCAT